AAGACGGTTTGGACCTTTGGTTGGCAATTCTTGAAAATACCGTTGAATGTACACCATCACTATTTAACCTAGTCCCCATGGCTATTGGATTGTTGGAATTTGGATCTGATACACTTAAAAAAGTTCTTAGAATTATTGAAAGTTACATTCTTTTGGTACCTGAAATGATTGTACAGGTGCAATTTTATCTCTTTCTATTGCTGTTTTTTATTTATAACAAAATACATTTAATTAATCATCTTTTAAGAACAGTCATATGCAATTCCTATTATGAGCGCATTTACTCAATTATTGGGAGATTTAAAACCCGAAGCATGTCGTGCTATCATTCATGTTATTGATATTACTTTGCAAGCTTGTCCTTTTGAGTTATTAAAAGAATCAATTATTAACACGGGACTTCTTGTAAAACTGCTTAATACCATACTTTCGGTCAACGAGGTATTGATTATTTAATCTTTTTTTTCTCGTCGATTATTTAGTGTGATTAATTTTTTAATTATTCAAATTTTTTTACAAAAGGAAAATCCTTACGTCCTTGTAGGTTATGTCTCAATATTAGCTAGGATTATCATTAATGACCTAGTATTTTTTTTACATTTCATCACAATTGCCAGTCAACAATACAATATTCAACAACAAAATTTATTAGAGAAAGTCTTGGAAACATGGTTAGATAAGGTAATTTAACGGTTATTATTTAATTTTATATATTGTAGAAAAGGTTTATCTTTAAAATATATTTTAATGATCATTGCTAGTTTGATAATATTGGACATCCTAAACAACGAAAATTGAGTGCGATGGCTTTCGCAACATTAATTGCTACAACAAATCCGACTATTCTAGGTTTATTAGCTCAATTTATTGGGGTTTGGTGTGATGTGTTGAGTGAAGTTAGAGAATCCGGTGGTGGAGAGTAAGTTAATGGATTTTATTATTATATTTGAACATTTAACGTGAAAACTATATTGAAATTGTTTATGCTTTGGGATTATAGTGCATTAGTTTATTGGCAAGAAGAATACGTAGGGAAGAATGAAACTGATGATAGCGATGCATCACCTGAAACTAAGCGCAAACGAGTTGTATGTGTTCTTATATTTCATCATTAAAAAGTTCATTATATAAATTCTTTTTTTATTGTTATTTACTCAACCCGATGTTTTGATTATATTTGCAATTATAGCTGTTACAACGGGACCCTATTCATACTACCAACCTAATTCAATTCATTAATTTAAAGATTGGTGAATGTGAAGCACTTAATGGAGGATCCGAAATGTTTAGACAAAATTATTTAAGTCGAGTTGATAATACTTTATTAGATCAATTAAAAGCATTAATGAATATTTAAGACCTCTCAATTTCTTCACTATTTTATCAGTTAAATAGTTTAATTTATATTTTATTTTAAATGTAATTTTATTGTAAAATTCAAAATCAAAATAATTTTTATATTTTGTTAGTTACAATAAATCGATTTATTCGTTTTGATCCTTTTTTAGGTCACGGGATATTTTATAGCATATTATGCATGATAGATAGAAAAAACCTTTAACATTATAATGGTAAACAGGTTAAAATCGAAATCAAATTTTACCGGAAAAAAATTATTTTACCATCTCTAAATTTTTTATCAAAAAAAAATTGTAATTTTTTATTAAAACAAAAAATTAAATTCTTCATTTACATGTTCTATTTCAAATTTGTAATGCTCTAGTAAAATCAAATTCCGATAAATCTTTTTCTTCCACCCAACCATCATCCAAAATGTTATTTAAAGAGTTTCGCAAATCAGTTTTTATTAGATTTTGCTTTGAAAATCCACGCTCACACTGATGAAAATGGAATTAGAATATATGATTCCTAATGACTGGAAAAGTATCAATAAAATTCTAATAATCTTGGAATTAGTAATTCAATTTTTGTGTTTCTAAAATTTGAATATACTATTGCTTTATACCCAAACCACTCTTCACAAATATTATTAACTTCTTTTTATAAAACTCTGATAAAACATTCGATTCTTGTCACCATAATTTGTAAGTTCTAATTTTCATAGAATTAAGTAAAAGCCTATCTGAAAATGATGTAATATCAACGATTAGATCTGCTTCGTCCCATGTTAATTGATGTGTACTGATGTTATGATTTTTTTCTAATGTATTTAACAAGAATCTATTTAAATTTTCTCCTAATAATAATCTTCCATCATCACTATAATCCAAAATTTTTTGTTGAATTTTTCTGAGTTAATTCTATTACTGGATCTATATCAGATAAATAAATGTTTTTTTGTTGAAAAATTTTACTCAAAGTTGAAAGATATCCAAGAATATTTCATAAAAAATGTAAAAAAGCAACTTCCAATTACAAATTTCTTATATAAAGAAATAAAATTTTGTTTTTAAGATTTGTTTATTGTTATTAGATGTCAATGTATTTTGTGAGCTACTACTCAAAAAGGAATAATTGGCATCTTTTCCATTTCTAATGTTAGAGGAAGAAGATCAATTATTAAATTTGTGGTTACCAAGAGAATTTCTACGGGAAATATTCATTGTTGATTGAGCTAGTTCTTGTTGGTTATATTGTCTATGAAGGATTCTTGGTCTGCTGTCTAATTTGTACCCATTATGTAGAATTTGTTTTGAATAGGTAGAGTTCATGTCCTTTTCAGACGCAAAAGCAGCATAAGCAATATTGTTATAGAAATAGCATGATCTTGCATTGTATGTTTTTAGTATGCAAAAAGCTTCTGCAGGTGAAGTTTTGTTTTTAAAACCTTTGAAACCAGCAATATATCTGTTCCTATTTTTTAGTTTTTCCATTGGTGTGTCGATATGGGCACATCTAATAACATGTCTATTTATATTGTGTGCTCAGGCTACATTAAGTTGATAGAGTTTTCTGAGCTTTCTAAAGGACACAATGACGTCACGTGTAGAGTCATATCTATTTCTATATTGATTTACAATGGAGACGATTGATCCAAAATATGTGAGGGCTCTATTAATATGATTTTGTGTGATGTTATTAGGAACAGATTTGAGTTTGTAAATAAGGTTATTATGGTGTTGTGTGTTGAGTGGAGTTTTATTGATCAAATTAAAGGGAAGTTCAGGATGATTTATTAAAGCATCATCTATTGTATCTAATAATAATTTTCTGTTATTAAACTTTATAAAAATATTAATATTGCCATTATAGAATTTTCAATCTATATTAATGAAGCCCAGTTTTTGAGAAAAGAGAGAAAAAATGAACTCTAATTTCTCTATTCTGTATCTCCTGGCATAGCAAAAGCTAGTAGTGATGCGAAAATATTTTCTTTATTATTTGGTTTAGTCACGTGAGAAGTATTTTTCATAGTGTGGCGTAAATCATTCTTGTGTAACTTTTAGTTTGTGTAATGTTATTGTTTAGATTGTGTAAAGACACGTCGATATTATTATTGTTATTAATAGAATTTGCAGATGCATGAATATTTTGTTTGGATTGTTTTGTGACTGACACGTAGAATTTTTTGTTGTCAGTTTTGTTTTGATTTTTATTTATTGTTTTGTTTTGATTAATAAACGAAAAATGTTGTGTATTAGATGTTGGTAAAAAGAAAGAAAGATTAATGTGTTGTGTATTATATGTGTCTGTTGACATGTTATTATCATTTAATGTATCCATTTGTGAAGAGATTTCCTCATCATTTTGAAGTGAAATAATATTCTCAGATTCATTGTAGGGAGGAGTCGTTTCAATAGTATTTGAAATAATATCTTTAGTATTATTAATTCTATGATCGCTTGCTCCAGTTTTGTGTAAGTTATAAGCACAAAACCTTACTAGATTATCAATAAAATTGTTGTTGAGGAATATTTCTTATGTAGTGCATTCCGCTGGAAAAGCTTTTAAGTATTCTTCATTTAATTTTCTAACAAGCCAAAAGACTTCTGGTGTTTCATATGAGAGAAATTCTGTGATAGCAAAGTCTCATTTTTCTAGTTCTGGGGTAATATAAGACTTCAGTTTTTGGAAGTTTAAGACTTCTTGGGTAAAAAGGTTTTTGAAAATATCAAGAGTCATATTGTATAGTTAAAGTTTTTAATAAAAATAAAAGTTTTTCTTTGAAAAATGAAATTTTAGTTTTTTCTAAATTTTTGGGTATGAGAGAGAGAAAGCCGTAGAAATTCTCCCATCAGTTTCGTTGTTATGATAGTTTTCATCATTTTTGTCATTTTCGTAATTTCGGCCGGTTGATCGCTAATTCGCGTTAAGGAATTATGGCTCCGTTTAGCAATAATCTACAGAATTATACTTAACAATCTTTTCGAAATATTTCACTAAATATTGGTCCAATCAGGTTAAGCTTATATTCGTTGGAAAGCTCTCATCAAGACGGTTCTAATGATACTATTTTCATCGAAATATTGATCATTAGTTTAAGAGTTATTCAATTTAACACTATTACTAATATCTTGACTTATTATGTTACTTTTCGTTCCCAAAATGAATATATTGATATGAAAGAAGACTCTGAAACTACTTTACACACCTAGTGAAAACTTATTTATTAATAAAGTATTTCATATTAGGTTTAATAATATTTTATAAATCTGGTATTACGTAATTGCTCTGCTCATTAATAATAATGTAAGTGAAAATATATCACAGAACTTTGATCACATATTGGAAAAATTTCTGATTAGATAACTCATAATCACTAATACTTATATTTCCATATTTAGCTAAATATGAGAAACTCATAGTAGTGTATTACGTTATAATAAGATAGATATATATACTGTATCTTAAACTTAAAACTTTCTCAAACTTTTACCCGCTACGTGTTTTATATGTTGGTCATTTCTTTTCTCTTGACAAGTTTTTACTATTTTTACCTGCTGTAATGTTTACTTTAGAAATTCCTTTTTTTGTTTGAATTGGTAAAGGCTATCTTTTATGTACATTTTTTAGAGTAAAAGAATTATGATATTCATATATATTAAATTTTGTAGATAAAGCAATTTCTTTTTATTTCAAAAATAAACCAATCTTATAGTTGTATGATAGCTTTCTTGAAAAATTGAAGCTGTTAATTATGGAAGACAAAATTGCTGAACTTTCATCAGTTTGGTGAAAAAGATTTTTGACGGCACTAAAGGAAATAAATAATGATTATATAAAAGATGAACAAGCGTGATATATTGCAGATCTTTTAAGTAATCAGATATCTTTTTTTAGTATATTAAGCATAACATAAGGGGGTGTCGTTCCTCTAGCATGCAAAAGCTTGAAGATATTATTTCTCTTAAAATTGTGTATGAGGTATCATTCCTCGTACTATTGCACAAACTCAGGGGATGTTATCTTTTGTTTCTTGCAAATAGTCCTATAGAGGTGTCTTTCTTCTTTGGACTCCTAGGGGGTATCATCCTTTATTTCTTGCAAACAGTCTTATAGGGGTGTCATTCTTCTTTGGACTTCTGAGGAGTATTATTCTTTATTTCTTGCAAATAGGTCTATAGGAGTGTTGTTCTTCTTTGGATTTCTGGAAGGAGGGTATCGTCCTTTATTTCTTGCAAACAATCCTATAGAGTATCATTTTTCTTTGGACTCCTAGGGGTGTCATCCTTTATTTCTTACAAATAGTCCTATAGGGTGTCGTTTTTCTTTAAACTCCTGGGGGTATCATCCTTTGTTTCTTGTCAACAGTCCTATAGGGGTATTGTTTTTCTTTAAACTCCTAAGAAATATTGTTTCTAGTATAACAAAATTGCTAATAGACCTTTTTTTATTAAGAAATTAACCGCAACCAATGCAAGCTTTTGGAAAAAGCTAAAAATGGAAAAGAATCACAAGCTTTTTAAAGCTAATCTCTATCATAAAAGGTTTGTACTTTGAATTATACAAATTGAATCAGGTTATATTTATTAATAACTTTTTATAGTCCATATTCATATTCAACTTATAGATCGAAGTGTTAGGTGTGTTAAAATTAGCACAAACATTGCAGACTATTCAGGCTACTAAAAAGCTTAACTAATATATTAATACAAATAGTAAGAATACTACGGTATGTTAGCTAAGCTGTATATCCTGATATGGTTTATATAAACTAATGGCTAATTAGATTATCATTTCCTTCTAGATGAATATTCTTGAAATTGCTAACTCCGCTAAATGTTCTAAGCAAGATAATGTAAACATTATAAATTCTTCATGATATGATTCAATCATTGTAATATACAAATAATAATTTAATGATAATTATATTGTAAGAATCTACAAAATCTCATGAAGGAACCATTGGTACAAAAATTTTAAATAAGGTTTTATTATTAATCTTTATTTAATTAATAAAAAATAATTTTTTTAGTTGAACTATCTAGCTAAATTGTTAACACAAATATTATAAAATAAATCTGAAAAAGCTGGTAGTTTGGCACAAGATAAAGACCAAAGATTATTGTTAAAGAAATGTCAGTCAGAAATTAATTTTACGCAAGATGAAAATCAGAGACTATTGTTAAAGAAATATTAGTCAGAAATTGATTTTACACAAGATAAAGATCAAAAATTATCATTAAAGAAACATCAATTAGAAATCGAAAAGTCAGAATTACCTAAATCAAAAAAATTTGAAGCTGTAACTGATTTTACGTAAGATGAAGATCAAGGAATATTAAAAGAACTAACTGATTTGCGTAAGATAAAGATCAAAGATTGTCATTAAGGGAACGTCAGTTATCAATTGAAGAATGCAAAGTAAAGCTTGAGCGAAAAAGAATAGAACTAATGAAATTAAAAAAGAGCTTAATATAGACTAGTCATTTGAAATATAAATTAGTTATTAAATCGGTAGCAGAGATTTTATGATTCTTAAAGTAGTATGCAAACCATCTTTGCTCTAACAATGTAAATAAAAGAAAGCTTGCATAGTATTGCACATTTCAGATAATTTGTTCACATGATCTAACTTTAAAATTTACATTTTTCTGGAAATTTTTTTAGGTGTCGGAACTTGATTTTTCAGTGAATATTAAAAATCAGACACTATATTTTGTTTACAATTAACAAGAGACATTATTAAATATGATATTAAGCCAAGTTTGCCTGATGTATGGTAAATATGAAGACTCAATTATTGTACATAAAAAATTTATTGATACACGCAAAAAATAAATACAGTATAATTATTTTTCGAATGATAACCCTCTATCCTAGTCCTCTTCTCTTCTGGCTCATCATTCACGCATGCCCTATTCTTTAACAACCTAATGATTATGCCAAGAACCTTCCTTATATACTTTCATATTCTTCTTCAATACTAAAGGCACAGTATATATTGTGCTGAATGTTAAAAAGAATCAAAAATGGAAATTGAGCTGATTAGAATCTATGATTTACAGATCCTCAGATAAACAATAACTTTTTATTATCCTGCTGACGTTAGCGCATTCAAATTACCTGTATAGGTTAATCACACATTAATTGGCAGTACGTAATCCAGTATGGGTGATTTATTATCTACTGTTTTTACAGATCTTGATCATAATGAATATTTTTTATTCTGATTTTTTTGCAATAGAAGTATATCAGCCGATCTATATGATACACAGTAGATATTCATTAGTATAAATTTATGCCATATCAATTTAGCATGAAACTGGATTTTCTTTTTAGCACAATTGTTAAATACGTCTTTGACAATCAGGCAGAAAAAAAATGTTTTCAATGTATTGTACAATGAGACAGTCATATTCAAACCAAATATTCAGTCGTGAATAATTCAGGAAGGATTTTGTGTAAGTTTTCTGGAATGCAATCCCCATTATTTTTTACAATTATAGCAGTTCAGGAATTATCAATGCATTATTAGTCATTTTGGATAAATAATGATTTATATTATTAAGGATGTACTTAATATCATTCTTATTATAAATATGATAAAATAATTTATAATTCGTTCCAATATCTATTGATTCGAGAAAGCTATTTTTTACAACATGTTGTAATTTAATGTACTGATAATATGGAGGCATAATAACTTTGGGGATAAACGCAATACGCAAATTAGTTTTAAATTTCGATTTAAAGATGTAGGAGACATAATCTGTGACATTCTTTTTTTTAGCAGTTTCTGAATACAACTATTTATTCAATTTTTCTTCGTAAAATTGAGAAATAGTTTTTAAGTCTGATCAAAAATAATTAGGTTAATATAATTTTTATTTGGTTGAACTCTAAGCCCTCAACAAGCTTTTAAGTAAAGTTGATTTACTGAGCTCAAAAGTTTCACCATTTCTTTTTTGTTTCGATTAACCTTTTCGATTTGCCTATAGCTAATAATTTCTATATTAATAGCATCTACTTCTAATCCGTCAAATAAAAAAAGAGCGTCATAATGATTTAGGAAATTTTATACCCTAAAAATTTATTGATAGATATTATTAAGTAATCTAACAGAGCTTCATAGGAAAGTACATACCTATATACCTTTTGAAACTTTCATTGTTTGCTTTAATAGTACCATTCTCCATTACTTGAAAAGTTTCTTCATAATCGTTAATCAAGCTTCTGAATACTTCGATTAATTTTACCATCTATTGTATAAAAATAAAAAAATTTTTTTCACTCAGGATTATTTAGAATATAGACTGCATAAAGAAAAGAACATATATATTAATAAATTAATTGTAGAGCCAGCCTTTTTTCCGTTTAATATAAGAAAAAATTTTTGATTTTGTAACGAAAGACTATATAATTATTCGTAAAGTTACATAAAACGTCAACAGATTATTACAGAAAAAGGTCTTTTTATTCTTCTCCATATCAAATCTCAGATCTTATCCTTAAAATGGTAAAAAAATATAGGTTCATATGGTCCTCGCTGAAATTAGTTAGCAGATAACCTGAAAAAAAAGAAGTGTTACTTTTGTATGATTTTTTGCTTGAAAGTTTTGAGAGATGTTTCATTACGCAATCTTAAATTATTAATAAGAATGCTTCTAATTTACATTTAAGATGCGTAATCCCTAATTAATGTTCCATTTTTGGTGAGTTAATCAGATTTGTCGTATTAACGAAATCTTTTCAAAGATCTTAAACTTAATATAAATTATATAAAAAGATTGATATTCCAGTTAGTGAATCCTTTTATCTCCCTTACGTAAGTAAAACAAAAATAACAAACGAAATTAATCAACTTTTCATTATTATGTATTACCAATATCAACAATCAAACAAACGAGTATAATCCACAAATAATAATAAAGTAGGTTGGTTTATGTTTCGGGTTGGCTTCTTGAAGAATGTCATTATGATGTTAATCAATTTTTCCGCCTCTATAGATATTCTAAAACAAACCGGATATATTACTCTTTTTATTATATATCAGAATTTTGATCTTTGCTGAGAAAATCTCTAATCATCATCACGCAGAGTGGAATATTGTGAAAATGAATCGTAGAGGTAAGTATGAATAAGAAATATTGCATTGATTATTTTTTTATCTTAATTGCTAATCCTCTGAATTTATACTGTAGGATAGACAAAAATTTTGTAAATATGGGTGGGATAATTTATTTCTAAAATCTAATGTAGGAAACAAATTAGCTGTAGATACTTGATGCTAAGACTCACATTAAATGGCCTAAGATCTGTGTACTTTCTCCCTCTTTGAGCATCATATTTCGCTTGTTTCTCTAGCATTTTCTGAATAGCTGTGTAGCTAAAAAATTGAAAATATAAAAGTGTTCACTTATTTATTACATTGTACAGACATCTATATATATTTCTTGTCAAATCTGGAAGAGGTTCATCTTAAATGTAGCTGTCTGCAAGTAACTTAAGTTTATAAATTTCACAAATCCGGTTGCAAAACCAGGGAGATCGAAACCACGCAAGACTTTACATGCTCACGAAAATACTAGTTTGTGGCTTTTTCTTTTTTAAAATAAATATTAATTAGGTGGTAATACCAGGAAGATTGAAATTACACAAGGCTTTACATGCCCACTAATTGCAAAAACTACAGTAATCAGATTTGAAAAAAATCACAATTGTACGAAACATACAAAGCCCTTAAGGTGTAATAAGTAATATAATACCGGTGATAAGTCACATGGGATATAAATGGACTAGAGACCTGAAAAAATTCTAATATCAAATCGTAAATTTTTATCACAATAACAGCAAAAATTCTGATTTTATTCTAATAAAAAAATCGTTTTATTTATTACTATTTTGATTATTAAAATACATCATAATAAATATTAAGTGATTCTGAACTTAAATTTTGCCTATCATCATCTAAAATTTTATTATACGTGGAAAAACTCCTTTTTACTGCATAATAAGAGATTGGCAATCATATATAATTACATGCTATTTTTTCTAAAAGAGGAAGTTGTAATGTAACTTTATCCCAAAATTCATTCAGTTCAGAAAATTCAATAAGATTTAAATTGATATTAACATAAATTGACTATTTCTGAATAAGATATACCGATGGATTAACTAATTCTCTAATAATTTTGATAGGAATAGATATCTCGATTAGCAGTTATTAAAGATAAATATCGTGGATCAAATACTTGAACAGTCCTAAATAATGAACACGCAGGATGTTGTAATATATGATCTTCAAGTTTATTTGTAAGCTGCATGATATGCTTATTGAAATACTGGACAAAATGATGATAAAGAAGAATTTAATCTTTGTAATATTGTATCTATAATTGGTCCAAAATTATTTAAAATTTTTCCCATAATTATTCGTGCTTCAAATTGTTGTAATCTTTGTTCAATAAGAGGAAACATTGATTTATTTTCTTGTTGAAAAAAATCAAGATCAGCTACAAATTGCTATGCATTATCCTAGTAGTATCCTAGGACATATTAATATATTAATATATTAATATGTCTTAAGATACTGCTTGTTTAAGACTAATATGTCCTAGGATATTATAATCTATCAATTAATATATCCTAGGATGTTATAGTCTATCAATTAATATGTTCTAGGATGTTATAGTCTATCAATTAATATGTCCTAAGACATTATAATCTATTGATTAATACGTCCTAAAGATGGGGTCTATTTTTCCTCACTGTGACTTATTGGTTAGTAAATATAGATGAGATATGCGCTTGTTTGCTTGCCTTTCTAGATGTCAAAATATGGTAAAAAAATATTGTATCAGGTGGTGCAGTAAATTTGTGTTTAATTTCGGCTGATACTATGCCATAATTTTGACCGATCTTTAGGACACGTGATTTGAGAATCTAACTCGGCGTCATGATAGTGCCATGGTAGTGATCTGGAACTGTCATGGAACTGGTGAAGAACTGGTAAGGTGCTAGTGTAGTTCTATTAATTCGTCAGTTTTAGACCTTTTATATGCCAGCTTGGATGCTGAGTTCTTATGTCCAAAGTTCTGGCCAAAATTATGGAATAGTGCTGGCCAAAATTAACGAAATTTACTGTGCCTTACTGTGTCATAATCACGTATTCAGTTCCTCGCCAGTTCCAGGCACTTTTCCGTTACTTTCAAGTAACTTTTGAGTAACTTTTGAGGGTCTGGTTTGGTGGTCAGTTGGTTAGAGAATCAGAGGTATAATTTGCATTATATTAATCAGCCCATATATTTTCCTTCTTGATTGCCAATCTCTTGATTACCGGATGAGGCACAAAGTGCCGAATTTGCAATCCATCATCTATTTGCTAAAGATGTGTTGCAATCTATTCACTCACTTTTTGATTGCCAGTGAGACACATACGAAGTATTAGTGTTGTGCCATTCTTGCAATCCTGCCTTTTGTGACCCTTTTGATTGCTGAGAATGAGGCACGAAGTGCCAAATTAGTTTAGGCTATATTGCTTTCATACCTTTTTTGTGTATTCTTCTGAATCTTTCTGTCTTCCCGATTTCTTTCCTGCCTATCAGCGGTAGTACACCAAAGCATAACTCCTTATTTTCTTTCTATATATTATTCTACTTTGGTGTACTACCAAATTTATACCCCAGTTTTTGCCCGAGCCTTTCTAGAATTCTTTCTCGTATAGTTTCTATACTTTGGGGTACTACTACATCAATTATTTTTAGGCATTATTATATTGATTACTTTTAGGTACTACCACAGACCCAGTATTTTGTCAGCAAGTACATTCGCTCAAAATTTTTATTTTGAAGATTTGGGAAATTTACATGTAATTTTATACTTAGTATTTCCAGAACGAGGCAAAAAAAATGGCTTAAAAAATATATAAAAACTTTACAATAAAACTTTCTAGGTATTTTGATGATTCATCTAAAGCAGATATAAACGAGATCATCGAATTATATGGATAAGTACTCTTAGCTGAAATTGCCACATCTCCGCTAGAATACTTATAATATTATTTATATATTTTTTTCTCGTGCAATAATACCAGCTAACTTCAATTTCTATCTTCGAACTTCTGACCTCTGATCATATAACCTGGCCTCGGATATGCCCGGAGGTATAAATCACTAGTCTGAATGTATCAGCCACTTTTTTCTTTTGGCTTAGCGCTCAATGAATTCCATATTTTTTTTCTGACTACGAACCATATAATTGCAATAAGTAATAAAGTAAGTATGGAATATATTAACATAGGTGACATTAAGGAGTCCGCAACAATAGGAATGACCGGTGCTAGAGGTATTACTTGAGCTGATGATACCGCTTTTGCACCACCTGATTGCTTTGCAACTTCTTCTCTTAAAATAATTTTTTCGGAATTTGCTGGTCGACTATGAACGGATTGATTAGGTAGGGTAACTGCCTGGTTTCTTTAAACTATCTCATCCTGGGGTAATAGTTCTTGCAAAGCCTCTAATATATGTTCTCTGGCAAAACTTTTATCAAATTCCATAACCTTATCTTCAAGACTATGCTTATAGACGAGGGATCTTAAATCATCATTGAGTAAACCTGGTAGTTTTTGCAATTAATCGTTCATAAGCGGGGATGGAGGATCTACTTTATTATCCTTCTTTAACACTAACTCTCGAAGATGAGAATTTTCCTCTATTAAATTTAATTACGTCGAAGACAAAGCATCTTTTTCCCGACTAGTTATCTCATGTGTCGCTTCTATCCCTTTTTCTATGCATTCTATTTCATGTTTTTTTTGAATTAAAATCCTCCTTTACCCATTTCAATTCAAGCCTGAGAGAATCAATCTCTTTGGGTTCGAATGAGTTTATTTGGGCCAGCTCCTCTATCACTCCTCCCACTACATTCAAATCATGGAACACCAGATTCAGTTTCAAGTCCTCCAACTTACCTTCCAATTCAACTACCTTAGTTTCGAGAGAAAGAATCTTGACCTTATCAGCGGACGAAGCTTTTTAGGCCAAAGTTGCCTCTCTTTAATATTTGATTTAAGCAATTTGATTTTGGCAGTATATTTGGCTTCAAGTTCACATTGACTCTCAGAATGAGACTTCCGTTCAGAAATAAGTTGGGATCTAACTTTAGTGCTAGACGCATTTAACTGGCTAATCTTATTTCCAATATCCTCCTCTCGCTCTGAATACTCCAAATTTTCAGCCTGTAACTTTTCATTGAAGTC